TTTTTGATTTATTGTAGAGATGAGGTCTCGCTGCCCAGGCGGGTCTCGAACCCGCGGGCTCAGGCAATCCACTCACCTCAGCCTCCCAAAGGAGCGGGATTACAGGCTGAGCCACCAAGCCGGGCCTACATGGCCTTTTTGAAAAGCAGATTCCTACAGCCTCTCTAAAACACTAGAATGCTAAAGATGGGCTAAATGAAATAGCACAAAATGTTTAATTAATATGGGATTTTAACATCTCGTTTCAATGTGTCATAAAGAAAAATGTGCCACAAAAAAATTGCCAAGTGTTCAGAACTGTCTGGTTATTCCCCCTAGGGATAGATCATTGTGTAGGTAAGCAGTGGGAAAAATTACAAATACAAATTATGAAAAATCTGATAGCAATTGCATATTAATAATATGGGAAATTTCAAGAACTAACTGCATATAGGGACCACAGTAAGAACTTGGAAGATTCACAAATAAGACATAAGCTACATATAATGACTACATTTCCAAGAAAGTCTACATTTACAGTTTAAGTCTACTGAACTTCTTCAGAATTTTTAGCATACAAGTACCTTAAATTTGATGATATTTAAAGAAAGGGTCAGGTAGATGTCTCTCCTAACATAAAACTGAAGTCATATGAAGAAATTAAATCCCAAGTTGAAAAAATTACCTGTGCAATTATATCCATTCAAAAAACTACGAAGAATTGGCTTAGTAGTGTGTTCAAAAACATCCACCTGAGTTGAAGTTTCATCAAAAACAGTGTCAAATACAAATTTCAGGTCTTTATTTTCTCTTTTTAGAATATTTCGGTTTGTAGTTCTCTTTCCATGGAAAAAGCTGACTTCTTTTTGTTTGGGATCAAAAACTAGGATATGTTTATCAACAACATGAACCACTTTATGGAATCCAGCTGTCTTTTCTTTTGTGTTTTCAGGACGTACACGAACAACGACTTTTATGTGGTGACACAGGTCTTCCTCAGTGACAGACATCATTGATTATTCTGATTCCTGTTTAAATGCTTGAACATTCATCTTGATTAAAAAGAAAAATAAAGTTTTATATTAGTCTTACCTTTATGCAAAATAAGTAACATGTAGTATTCATTTAAAAAAGATGTTAACTCTGCACCACTCACAGCTGGTAAATGTTATTGGGGGAAATATATATGTGTATGTGTGTGTGTGTTTGTGTGTGTGTGTATAAAATTATGCATGTGTGAGCACACACACACACATACACACACATACCCACACATGTACATGCACTTAAACACCCTAAAACAAAAAAAGGCACACAAATACACAAAACCATGACAAAAATCTTTTTATATGAAATATTATAAGTCCCTGGGCTGCAGCTTAAACTCAAATATTACAGCTGAAGGATACATAATTGCAGCTATGCTACACAGAAACTCAGCTTTGATTTTCACAAGGGTTCTGGCATGATTTTACCTTGGATCATGAGAATGCATAGGAAAGGACCCCTCAGACTCAAATCAAGGTAATGATGGGAGAGCCTCAGCGTGTGGACTATTTTTAGTAAAAATTATTTTGGCAGTAGAAAGCAAGACATCCAGGCTGGTCTCTACCTGTATCTCAAAGACCCACAGAGTTAAAAATAGTTAGTTCCAAGGATGCACCAACTAGCTAGCTCCGGTATGAAGGTGACAGAGGTGACATATACTCCTTGTTGTATTCAGAGATCCCAGATCCCAGTCTCTGTTAATGATAGGCAAATTTAAATAATCAATAAGACCAGGATTAAAAAATATGGTCTGTCCTTATGACTGCATTACATGAAAAGAGGAAAAGCAAACAAACTAACAAAGATGAATTTTGAATTCTCAACTACCCAGAAAATAATATAGAATCTAAAAGTTAAAACCAAAAAAAACTACAAAACAAAACAAACACTGCAGAACAACAACATTTGATTAAGGATTTGAAGGAGGTGAGGTAGTTAGTATGATCCAGCAATCCAACTTCTGGGTATACATTGAAAGGAACTAAAATCAGTATGTTGAGAAGATGTCTGCATTTCCATGTACACTACAACATTATCTGCAGTAGCCAAGATATGGAAACAATGCGAGTGCCCAACAACAGATGAGAAAATGGAAACAATGTGGTATATACAGCGGAATACAATTCAGCTTTAACAAAAGAATGAACTTGTATCATTTGTGACAATATGGATGACTCTAGGGGACATTATGCTAAGTAACAAAAACCAGACACAGAAAGTCGAATATCACATGATCGCACATGTGGAATCTAAAAATTTAACTCATAAAAGTAGAAAATAGAAGCTGAAGGGGATGAAGTGGGCGGAAAAAGGGGAAATACTGGTCAAAGGGCACAAAGTTTCAGTTAGACAGGAGGAATAGTTCTGGTGATCTATTGCACAGCAAGGTGACTATAGTTAATAAACTATGTACAAATATATTTTAAAATTGATAAGAGTGGACTTTAAATGTTCTCATCACAAAGAAATGGTATGTGAAGTGATGAATATGTTAATTAGCCTCATTTGCTTATGCACAATGTATAAATGGACTGAAATATTACACTGAACCCCACTAATATACAGAATTATTGTCATTTTAAAAATTAAAGATAAAGAAGAAAAAGATACTACTCCAAAACAACAGAATTTTTTTTTTTTTTTTTT